ACGACCGTGAGCTTGGCTCGCCAGCTCCGGGGCCGTGACACTGAGAAGTCATTTCTAGAACCAATATTAACAACTAGACAATATTGTGGTACTTGTTATGGAAGTGATTGCCAAGCACTTGAACATCATTCCTAAAAAGGGCATCCGCAGTAACAATGCTTGACCCTTAAAGCTAAGATATAAGTTATTTGCATAAAATAAAGGGCTAGTGAGAAAAGTTTTTAGGTGAATCCAAGGTTTTCTAATGAACCACTTAGGCACATTCAGCTTCTTAAGGCTATTTAAAACTTCTAATTGAATTTTCACCACAAAAGTGATTTAATAATATTTTCAAAGCTTACAGAAGACAAATGAATACACTAAATGGTGTTGAAAACTGAATTATTTCTGTGATAATATTTTAGTGGAATGCCTGTAAATTAAAAAAATACAGAAAATAAAAGAGAGAGGACATCCGTGCTTACTCAAATGTCCTGCCTAATTCAGAATAGCAAATTAAAATGTAAATTAAAGTCTCTCTCTCTCTCTCTCCACTTTCACAGATATAAAATACAGTGAAGATAAACTTCAAAGGTTCACAATGACTCCTTCATTTTCTCCAAGGGAATTTATGAACACCATGATAATGTGGAAGTGTTAGATAAAAAAAATGTAGACTACACTAAGCAATTGTGCTTGTATTTTTTTCTTTAATATCATACACTTGAATAATTTTACAGAAGACAACAAACTTCTTTCAACTACACAGGGTTTCGAAGAGATGGTTGGAAATGTTTAACAGGTAGAACTAAGTTTATTTTTATGAGGGAATTCCTTAAAACTGATTTTGGAGAACAGTCTTTTCATTCTATTAATAAATCATTGCCTTTTGCTATGCATCAAATGGTGCAGCTACAGGTTGTTAGTGTTTTGAGTTAGAGATAAAGCATTGTAAAAAACAAACACACATGTTTTTCCTTTTTTTTTTTTTTTTAGGAGAAACTACTTATGAGTTAGTTTTACAATATTGTATCACAGTCTTGTTGAACCATAAGAAAGTTAAATAGAAGAAAATGCATTTATGACCTCCAATAATAATAATAACAATAACAACAACAATAATGTTATTCTGTTTGCTGAGTATGACATGCATTTCTGATTTACTTAGTCTACAAGGTACAAATATACCCTGCCTTCTGCCTGATGTGGTATGTGGCATGACCTTAGAGCATGAAAGGATATCACTGGAGAAGGTTTACACACAAATATATTAAGGTAATCTGGTTAAACATATTTCATGTACTATATGTTTATTAAACATTTCTTATTTTTTTTATATAACTGTTGTGAGGTGTTGTGTTTCCATCCTGTTGCTGTGTTCGTTCTATTGGGTAGAGTCCAGCCACTCTTGTATCA